TAATTATCTCGCTTGTCTAAAAATAAAATATGAGACCATCAGGTATCATTAATTATTCCTGTTTTGATGCCAAAAAGAAAGAAAAGGAAAGCATTACTCACCAGACCTTTTGAAGTTCTATTTGCAGCTGCAATTGAAAAGGCACCTGATAGAATGAACTAAAAACGAAAAGAAACATAAAGGTAATAATTGAAGCAAATACTCGAAGTTATAATGTATTAGACCTTACCCTAAGTTAGATAGAAACACTGAACAGGCCAGTTATCTTTGAAGAAACACAAAACATTGTAAAGAATTCCCCTCTTCCTTGAGAAAGAAAAAATAAATTCTAAAAGAGGGAGTCACAGGAAAATTTATTTTTTCAAAAAGAAATTTATTTGTTTTTAAAAAATAGCTAACTGTAACAGAATCTAAATAATTCCAGAATAGTGAAATATAAAGACATTCCAAATTTCTGACACCAACTAACTGTAATACTGGTACCAAATTTGAACAAGATATTATATTATAAAAATAGAAAGAAACTAAGGACTAATCTATTTATATTTTACATATAAAATATAGCAGACATACTTTCAAATTCCTTTTTAGAAGATTAGAATGTACTAGTTAATTTTACTCCAACAACTGGGTAATTATTTACCTTTTATCCCAAATTGTAAATAAATAAGTCAAATAAGTAAGCTCCCTACCATAGACTATTCATCTATTTGCCTTGAAATTTTTCTTTCAAGACCTACCTAATAAAAAAGTTTAATAACTTTTAAATGCACATTTAATATCAAGACATGGGGATGATTCATGTAAACTAAATAACTTCTATCATATTAAATGGAATAAATCAGATATTCTTTTAAATGTACAATTTAAATATGGAAATAATGTTATAATTTATAAAATTAATAGGTGTAAGGAAAAATTCACATCTTGAATGCTACATACAGTGATGAGATACTTAATTTAATTGAACCTTACTTATTGGTAAATTATCAAGACTTGAATTTTCCATAACATGATATCTTAGTTTAAAGTCTTCATCGTGTCTAATAGGAAAACTCTAGACTTACATCATTAAAGTTAAATTCATTAAGAGATGACACTGTGTAAACCATTCTAAGTATGTTCACCAGTATAATTATGTAAAAATTGGAGCAAATGGCTAAAATTGATGTTACTTAAATGGGACTATGAGTTATATTAGAAATATCCAGAACTATGAAGTATTATAAATTATGAAGCACTATAAAACTATGAACATTCAATAAGGCGTCTTGTTGTTTTTGTGTGCCATAAAGTCAGAACTGACCCATAGCTGACCCTCCAGTGGGTTTTCAGAGGCAGTATTTGCACAGAAGGAGATTGCCCATCTTTCTCCTGAGGAACAGCTGGTAGATTTGAACCACATGCTTTTAAGATCGCAGTGCAGCTAATTATCACTAAGCCACCAGAGCTCCCTATAAGGCATTTAAAAATAACAATATAAATAAAAATTGTATCCTTGCCATCGAGTTGGAATTGATTCCGAGCTGCCCCTCCTGTGGGTTTTCAGAGATTGTAAATTACATGGGAGGAGAATAGCTATCTTTCTATTTCAGACCAGTCGGTGGATTTGAACTGCCTGCCCTTGACTTGGTAACACTCCTGACCTCCTAGGGAACCAGAGAGTGTGTATACACATTACTAATATATGTGGGTTTATGAGTTTGTGTGTTTGCACATCTGTTCATTTTTGGGTGCATTTTTGAAAGTAAGACTAAATAAAGTATTTCATTTACCACAGAAAACTTATACAGTAATTGAGATTGGAAAAACTTAAGAATGTAAAATGTCGATGCATTTAAAACTTCAAGAAACCTTAAACAAATAGACAAAGTTGGACATAACTGGATGAGATTCTGGTAAAGCACACACAAACTCTCATTGCCACTGAGTCTATTCTAATTTGGTATTCTATTCTGTAGAATAGATTGTCAAAAGACAAACAAATCTGTTTTAGAAGTACATTCAGGTTGCACTTAGAGTCAAGAGTAATGAAACTGTCTCACATACTGTGAGCACGTTGTCACGATGGGTCAATCACTGGGAAATTAGGAGGTCATCAGTGCCATCAAAGTGGAAAACCCTTAGTGAGATGGATTGACAGGTGAAGGGAAGATTGGGTTTAAGCAGAGGAGATTGTGAGGATGACATAAGATCAGGCAAGATTTTGTCCTCTTGTTCACAAACAAGGGTTCTGGCAGAGTCTGTTTGAAAGTACCTAACCTCAATAGCAACCTTTCATGGACTCCAGGGCTAGGTATACCTGGGTTTTTGGGTTATCAGAACAACACAGTAGGGACTATGCCACGGATTTTGTTTTAGGTGAAACTGAGTTGAGAACAACTCATAGCAACTCTGTGAACAAAAGATCTGAACCTGTTCAATCCTGCGTCATCCTCACACTTCCTGACACACAAGAGCCCCTTGCTGCAGTCACTGTGTTAATGCACCTGACGGCCACTAGAGCTTCTTAAATCCAGATCACAGAAAGAGTTTAATTATAGCTATTGGTATTAACATTATTAGGCTTACAAGGGATTCCTGTCTGCAAGGCAGCATGGACTATTTTTCATACTAGACACCTTTGCTGTAAATATGCAAACTCAGCCAACTGCTGCCAATTCTGGTTCACAGCAACCTGCCATCTGGTTTCCCAGGTTGCAAATCTTTATGGGAAGAGAGTGCCCATCTTTCTGTAGAATATTTAGTGGATTTGAACTTTACCTTTTCAGTTACCAGTCCACACATTACGGTCACACCACCAAGGCTTGTCGTAAACTGGTAAAGGGGGGCTAAACCAACTGTTTAATAAAGCTCTAACCCATCTCCCTCTCAACCCTGTAGAGGTAAATAAACAAAAGTCCTGGGATGTCTGACTCAATTCTCTGATTTTTAACATAGTTAGAATTTTCTTCTCCTCTTGTTAGAGGTAAAACTTATAGGTAAAACTTGATATTTTCTTTTTAGTTATACTCTGAATTTTCAGGGGGGTGGTGTGTGTGCACGCATGTTTTATTGGGAAACACTTTGTCTATTTTTTTTAATTCTTCCTCTTTCCCACTCTTGTTGTCTTCTAGTTGGAGCAGACTCACAGTAGACCTTCCCCCAGGTTTCTGAGGTTATAAATCACAAGGAAGGAGATCGCTCATCTTTTTTTTTGGACTTGCTGGTGGATTCGAACTATCAGAGAAGCGTTAGAGTGAGCAGCACTAATTGTGGTCTGAAAATTTCACTTTAATTTTGCTGATATGTGACCTCAAGCCTCCTCCTGTTCACAGCAACCATTTTTTTTGCTACCGTATGAAGCCCTGCTCTGTTCTGCACCATCCTTCCAGCCTCTGTGGTGTGTAAGCCCATTGTTGCTTTCACTGTATCAAACTATCTCATAATTAATTGTTCCTTCTTCTAATGACCCTCTTCTAAGCGTGATGCCCTTCTCCAAGAAGCAGCCCCTCCTGATAACATGTGTAAAGTTATTTTTTTAAAGTGGAACAAAATTAACATATTTGCCGACCTCATCCATTTGCTAATAATACCTGGTAGTCATGGGACCAGCTCTATGAATTATCTGCGTGACAGCTCTCTCATTTCCTTTTTCTCTCTATCAAAGTCATTTTATTCACTCTACCCCATGAGCTTCAAGGTGGAACGAACCCTCCCTAGACTTACTAGTGAGTCTTGATCAGCCCAAAGTAATAATCAAAATTCCACCATCATTTCCCATAGGTGGCTTAGAGACATGCATATAAAATATTTCTGAACACTGAACTATATCACACATTCCAACAGAGTCTACTAGGAGTCCTTGATGAGATCTTGGCAGCCAAGCAAAAGACCAACCTAGAAATGATTTATCACTGATCTCACGTTGAGATAGTTAATGCTATCGGTATATAAGCCACTCTGGGCTGAGCCTTTGTTTCCATGCTACTATAAAATGTTGTAACTCATGCAGATTAAATTGGCCCAGCTTTCTAGGAAAACCTTTATATTATTATGACCTATTGAAATTTTTTAAAAAAAAACCTGTATCAAAGGAGGTTAACTATACTTCTCAAGGTTATAGAAGTTTAAGTCAGAGTTAGGATACTACCTTTAATTATCTCAAGAGGTACTCTACTCACCATCACTGGCCCCCACACTGAGTACCCCATGTAGACTGAAACAGGATTTGGTCCATAAAATGTGAAGGAGACACACATCATTATTATTCCCAAAGAGAGGATCATTAATGCAGTCAATATCTGGACAACCTAGACATAATGGCAAAAGGAAAACCCTAATTATTCACCACAGAGATAGTGCCAACCCACCGCTGCTCCAACCACTGTGTTACCTTCATTTTCAATCTTTTGAAAGAGTCAGATGTGATACCTGATATTCTCTCTAAAATTACTTTTTTATGTAAAAAAAAACTGTGAATCTACTAACCTGCTAAAATTATCTCTGAGGGTATCTATCGTTGCTCTGGGAATTTCAAAGTTAAAAAAAGGGGGAAGACTATGCCCAGACCTAAGCCAAGGCACCTTCCCTGTACTCATGTTGTTACTGCTATGACAATTGTTGCTTTCCTTTGCCATGTCCCCAGAAAAAGGAGGCACTCCTGATAGAAGGGGAAAGGGTGTCTTCTAGCAAGAATTAGTGGCCTGAAGGAAAAAGAATCTATACAGAGACATGGAAGAGAAAAGATGACAGTTTTCAGGGGTCTGAGACCTGGGATAAAGCTACAGGCAAAACATTAGGGCACTTTTGAAGTCCAAACTTGAAGACAGTTGTCCCATGGCGTTAAAAAGCATTCAATGTCCACAATGACTTTTCCCAGTGCTTTGAAGTCTGAGCTAGAGATAACTTTTAGAATCACTGCCCTTCTACTAGTACTGACATGTCTTTCTTTACACCTTTCATCCCTTTCAGGAAAATCCAACCAAGGTTTCAGGGATAAATACAGAGGACATAATAGGTTTCATCATCCGCACAGCAGGTTAAGAAAATGACCTAGTGAGGGATACTAACCCTGTGGGACCACCATGTGTGAGGGAGGTCTGTGGAGGGGCATCAGCTAGTCCACACAACACCTTTTCTTTTTTCTTTTCTTCCATGCTAAAGTTGAATGCATTTATCAGGGGTTAGTAGTACGATGTGCTAGAAGGAATATTGTGCGATTTTTTTCCCCCCAAGTGATAGGTCAATCCAACTACTAATGTCCCAAAGACCAGCTGATGGGTGATTAGGATGGTAGAAGATGGGATTTGTCACCAGATCCGCTCAGTCCCAGACCTGCACTGGACTTACCCCAAGGACTTTAGGTTCCCCTCTCAAGAACTTCTCCTGCATCCCTTTCCACACGTAGGAGCGAAAAGATGCAGCCTGTTCCATCTGAGGTGCACCGGGACCAACCGGGAGGGTTGTCATGATAGCAGAGAAGGCACTACAAGAAAAAGAAAGAAAAGAAATCATTCAGAATGAGGTCCTGGAAAGGACAGGAGAGGAGCACATCGAGGTAGTCTCCTCTAGAAAATGACCTCTGGGCTTCATTCTGTCACTAAATTATAATAGACATTAGGACATTTTATAACATATAAAAGATATCATTTACTTCCAATACCTCAATTTTCTTTTGTTCTGGGAAGGAAAGAAGGAGAATATATACTGGTGAGATCGTAGATTCATTTTTATCTTTAAGTTTGTTTCAAGGATTATTCAAAAGAGCCAAGGTTGTTGTCAGGTTCCCCGCTCTTACGGAATAGACACAGGACTGAGTAAAGGCAGATGGAGGAACCCTCTTCTTTTTCTTGTAATTTCTGCTTTTCTCACTGTGTTAGTGAAATAGGTTACATATGATACACTACTGAGCAGGAGTCTTTACACTGAACATCTGAGCATCTGCTGGGTAGAACATAGATCTAGAAGATTATGGAGGAGAAGGAGAGAATAAATGAGGGCTTCTTATTGGCCTTAAATCTAATCTACAACCTCTACTCCAATTTCCCCAGGAGAACTGACTCTGTACTTAAATTCGAGTCCTATAATAAAGCCCATCATTTGCTGTTTATTTAACAACTTCTCCTAGAAAGGAAGAAAATTGCTTTTCACTTCCAACATTGGAAGATTTAAGAAAAATAAAAATAAAAAAAAAAAACCACCCCAAATCTGTAGTCTGCAGTCAGGAATCTCTCCAAATTATTGAGGAGCAATGATGTTAGTGTGAGGATTAAGGTGTATTCGATTCAGGCCATGGTCTTTTCAATCACTTACTATGCATCTGAAATCTGGACAGTGCTTAAGGATGACAGTAGAATAATTGATGCCTTTGAACTGTGGTATTGGAAAAGAGTACTGAATACCCCAGGGACTGCCAAAAGGATAAACATATACATCTTGGGGGAAAAAATGCAGCCAGAGTGCTCCTTGGAGGCAAAGATAATAGAAACTGTGTCTCATACGCTTTAGGTATGTTGCTAGGAGAGGCTAGTCATTGGAGAGGCTCATCATAGTCGGGAAGGTGGAGGAACAGCAAAGGAGATGAAGATCCTCAACCAGGTGGAATGACACAGTGATGGCAACAATGGGCTCAAGTGTGTCAGTTGATGAGGATGGCACAGGATGGGACAGGGTTCAGATCTGTTGTTCTTAGGGCCACTGTCAGTCATACTCTACTTGACAGCATTTATCAGCAACAACATAATCTTGCAAACATTTCTCTTTCAAAAATAATACAGGGGCACAATGAGAAGTATGTAGAGAGGATTACACCATGCCCCTACAATTCCTAATATAGAGTTGAAAATGCTAAAAGGAATGAACAGTGTAAGAGTTACAGAAGGCTCCAAGGGTCCTTTCTTAAGCATAATTAACTTAGCTGCTAATGTTCTAAAAACTGGGAAGGCATCCTTGATGTCTTCCTTAAACTTCCAATCAATCATGCGCTTCTGATCCTACCTTGCAACCCGTTTTCGATTCTGTACACTTCTCCCATCCCAACTAGCCACTATCCTACTTAGGAATATTTCCAGTCTCCTCTTGTTGTCCTACTCTTGGTGTAACTATTCTTGGACTGCCATTCTCCACTCTGGAGCCAGAACCATTGCTTGTTTGTTTATTTGTTTGTTTTCAGAGACATTGTTTTGAAAGGTTAGGTTTTATTGCTATCATTGTGTTGAGTTCTTTTTGGTGTTGCAGAGACATTGTTTTAAAAAGAAAATGCAATAGTGTCAAAATGTGCTGCCTTTGAGTCAAATAAAACTCAGAGTGATTCTACGGAGCAGAGTAGAATTGCTTCCATCGGGTTCCCAAAGTTCTAAATCTTTGCTAAGATTTACGGACTATCACATCTTTCTCCACAAAGCAGCTCCTGAATTTAATTTCCAACCTTTCAGTTAGTTGTTATGTCCTCAAGGCTTTTAACAAGAGTATTATTGCCTTCTTTGATCCTCTAATGACATTTCACCAGTTAGTACAAAGTTTACACCTGCAGGGTGATTGAGAAGAGGAGCTCTGCTACTTAGCCTACACCCATTACCTTGAGTCTCTCTCTTCCTTTGAATCTCTAGAGTTACTTTTCATTTCTTTCTTTCATTTTTCAAAGCCCTAAAGAAACGTGGCTTCATTAAGTTCCTGTCCATCAGCAGTCTCTTTCCTAGAGTGAGGCATTCTGACATGTTGAAATATTGCTGGAAACGTTTCACCGCTTCCACAGCTGTCCTGCAACTGCAGTAAAAAAACCCCACTCCAGCGCTGGTCTTCCTCATTTGCTGACAGCGTTACATATACTCTGCTTTCTCTCAGGCACCACCGCCCAGCTCCCTGACTTCTTCAAAATGGTGTGCTTGGCCTATGATGTCAACACAGTCTAAGAAATCTCTATTATTTCTTTCTTACACCATAGAAGCCAAAATTCTATCTTGTTTCTCTAATGAAAATGAAAATGAACCACTTCTCCATCTCTCAACCATATCTTCATACCAAGGATTTAGGAATTGTTTGCTCTCTCCTTATCAAATACCTCTGTTGGTCTTTTTCTATAATTAGTATCTCTGCAGTAAGACTTTGAACTTCTGCTAAGATAGAGCTACTATATCAAAATAACACTTTCCTTTGTTATATAAGTGACTCTTACGGTCTTGCTACAGTTCTGTGATAGTAAAGGTCACTTTTCAGTCACTCACTCAGGGCTCACGCTCTGTTTACTCAAGAACCTCTGATCTGGAGTTCATTCACCTGCCTAGGAAACCCTATGGGGCTGTTCTATTGTATAGGGTCACTAGGAGTCAGGACCAATTCAACAGCCTATAAAAGCAGCAAGCAGCAGGCTGCACCCATGTAATCTCCCTGGTAAGATTGATTTGACGGTAACCAGCAACAACAAACTTTCACACCACAGAAATCATTTGTTAGTTGCCCAGAGAGGGAAATTTGCCACGGACAAAAATGTATCTTTGTTTTTCGGGGCTCAGCTACAGTACAGTCAACCACCAAGGGCAGCAACAGAGAGTATTGGACACATATGAGGCACATCCTTTCCAGAACAGGAAAGAATTCAAACACTAGTTGTATCACATTTTCTTCTGACATATTTTGAGTCATTCACGATCACGGTGCCTTCTATAAACTCCCCTTCCCACAATACAAAAGTGGAGAAAATGGAAAAAAATAAGACTCTCCTTTTACTGGTTCCAAAGTCCTGTAGGTCATCACCACCCCTGGGCTTTTGCTTCCTTGTTTTTGCTTAATCACCATCCTTCTCATGGATCACGGTTGCCAAAAAAGAATTATGAGAACATTTAGCCAAAAGGATAGCTTCTCCTCTTTGTAAATTTGATAAAATAAACTAAAGTTATCTAAGGAGACCTGAATATGCCAAGCCGTTATATGGTGATAACTGTGATGTAGAAACAGTGACCCGGGGCAGGAAAAGGCTCAGGCTACAAGTCAAAAAGATTGAGTTCCACTTGTAATGTTTTTATTGACTTGTGTGATTCTGGACAAGTTCGAGACTCTGGATATTTTCTTTCTCTGGTTTTCATTTACCTCATCCAAGGAAAGAAAGGATGAGTTGGTCACAATTATTACCTCCACTTGTCCTTCTGATCTGAAGAACGAGATGCTTTCCTTTATTAGAAGACTTCTTCAAGAGCAACTTCCATTTAGGGTTGGATGTCCAAATATGAGACAGTCGCCAGGGGACATAATAATGTGGGTCCAGCTCTACCTCAGGGACTGTCTAAACGTATAACTCTGGGAAGTCTGGCTCTAGCCCACATCCTCAAATTCTACCTGTAACAAACTTTTCCTAAATTGGAATTATAAAAGGATAGGTCCAATGGTGATTCATTTTTTAAAACATAATACAGGGAAATGATTGTATAAAACACAACTGTTCATTCATAAAGAACAGTGTATATAAACTTTGTAAGCAAACTAATATAAAAAGGGGAAAATGTCAAATGTCAGCCATACTAAACAACAACAAAAATTCTATCTGAAATTGATCATAGATATGAAAGTAAAACCTCAAATCATACAATTTATAGAAGAAAATATTTGGAAAATTTAGAGAATTACTTACATAGAGCAAAGAAACCATCAATAATATTAGAAAAAAAATTGGTAGGGTAGAGAATAAAATGACTATAGAGGGAATGAAATATTAATTAAACATTCAGCTTTCTGATAGGCTAGGGACTTAGAGGAAAAACTGCAAACTAAAACAATCTCATCCAGCACCCAGCTCAGCCTGTATGAACCTTTTTTAACCTCTTCAACAAAGATCACTTCCAAAACGCCCTAAAGTATCTTTAAAGAGCAATTGAACCATCTCAGTCTAGAATCACAGGACGTGGCTTTATCCTCCCTCCCTCCCTCCATTTCCAAGAACCCCAGGGTCACCAAATAGAAAACCACCAGCCCAGACACCTAGGAAGGCAGGGCCCTGCACTCACCTTTCTTGACACTGGGGTGCCTGCTGTGTTTCTGGAAGAGACTTTGAGAAATTACTTTCTGGTTCTGCTGCACAGATATAACCACTTTCCCCAACCCAACACCTTACTCAGTTTTAGGTCTGCATTCTTCTTCTAACAGTTATTCTAAATCTTAAAGGCTGAGAATTTCTGAGAAGAACAAGTACTTCCTTTTTTTTAGATGTCGGAAGTGCTAACTGATTTTGTGTCCTCAGTGTGGGTGTGGATATCTGTTGTGAATTTGCTGAGTAGGTCGTGGCTGCCCATGCCTGCAGTGTTTTATACAAAATCATAATGGCTACTATTGTGGACAAAAATGTTTGTACATTTACTGTGCATCAGACCCTGCTCTACAACTTTCATACATGCACAGTGACTTAATGAATGACATCTAGAATGCATTTAAAAAGCTCTTTTCACAAGTTTACATGCCTCCTGTATAACTCAAGGCACCAAAGAACAAATTCAATAT